GCTGTGGACAAGCTTGCTACCTTCAGAGATATTTGGACACAATTTGTGAAGCAGCTCAAGAAATGGTGTATTCCAGGAATACACCTGATGGTTGATGAGCAGCTCATTGCATTCAGGGGTCACTGTCCCTTCAGACAGTGTATGCCCAGCAAGCCTGCCAAATATGGCTTGAAAATTTGATGGTGCTGTGATACAGCAACATCATTCCCCCTGTTTGGAGATATCTACCTGGGCAAGCAACCAGAAGCTCCACACCAGGGTAATCTTGGTACCTAGGTCATTGAAAAACTGGTTCATCCATGATACAATACAGGAAGTAATATTGTGGCTGACAATTTCTTCACAAGTACTGACTTAGCAGAAAGACTGCTACGGCGGGACTTGCCCTATGTGGGTACAGTTTGGAAAAACAAGGCTGATATCCCAAACAAAATGCAAGCAAATCAAAGAAGGGAAACGTTTCCATTCATTTTTGCTTTTGATGGGGAACTCACCCTAGTTTCCTATGTTCCAAAGAAGTCCAAAGTTGTGCTGTTGCTGTCAAGCATGCACCATGACCCGTCAGTTGATGGAAAGCAAAGAAAGCTAAATATGATCCATGACAACAATAAAAACAAGGATGGAGTAGATAACCTTAACCACTTAGTCCGCATGACCACCTGCAGATGGAAAATCAACAGGTGGCCAGTGACACTTTTTCAATATGCTGGATGTGGCTGCCATTGCCAGCCTTATCATTTGGCTAGGCCACAACACAAACTGGAAGCAAAGATCAAATTTAAGAGGACAGCACTTTGTTTTGCAGGAGCTTGGAGAACAGCTAATTGATGGACAAATAAAATGAAGAATATGGATACACGTAATCTGTCTAAGTCCATCAAGTCTGATATGACTGCCCTAAATTGCAAATTGCCTCAACGCACTGCAATCGAACCTTCTGCAAGCATGAGTGGATGTTGTGTTTTTTGTCTGCAAAACCCGGAAATGATGCGAAGATTGTAAGCGATTTGCTTGTGTGCAGCACAGTGCATCACTGTGAGGAATGCAATATTTAGTTAAAAGTTAGGAATGTTTTTAGAAGCAATTGTTAGTTTGAAAACAGAGTGAACTGCAGACTTAGCAAATTGTTCGTTCATGTTTTGAAACTCTAAAAACAGTTTAAATTTTGTTCATAGCTCTTGTTAAATAATATTTTGGGTTCAAATCATCATAAATATTCTTTCAAACAATCTGTATGTTTAATAAATAGTTTTTGGTACATTTATACTGTTATCATTGGTTCCATTTTGTTCATGTGGGTGGGGTAGCCAGTTATCCCATGAGACCAACACCGTCAAATTGTGGGGTAACAAGTTACTCCATGAGAACAACAATGGTTATGGTTTCATGAGAACAGATGAGGGTTAAATTAAAAGAATAATACAATATATCTATAATTTTGAATGTGATATTTTCATGGATTAACAGTGAAGTAATGATCCAAACTTTCTTTTGCACATGAGCGTGGTCTCATTGACTTCAATAAAGTTGAAGTCAACTTTAACCCCTGGAAATTTGGCCCATCAAAAAAGGATAAGAATTAAAGGCCACTAGTACTCTATGAAATATAATAACAACAGACTTATATTTTAAACAAATATAAGCTGAATATCAAGAACTTCCTGAGTGAGACCTAACAGACTGAGGAATAGTCAGGAAGTGAGAGGGAAATCCTGTTATTTTGGAAATTTAAAGCTGGAATGGGGGGAAAATATTAGAAAGGGTACTATTGGGAACAATTTTGCAATGGAACGAATGATCTATAGAACACTTACGTAGGTACAGCATGAAATATCTAGATAGATTGTTTCTCTCGATCTCTTAACTTTTCTGCCTCTGTGTCAGTCTGAGGATTTGCATCTATCAATCAAAATTTTATGCTTTCCTTTATAACTGCAGGGAAATTCCAGAGAATTCTACCTTGACCTGGGAAGAAAAATGTATCCCCAGGCGAGCTGGACTTCGAAAGCTGATTGCAAGCCTGACTTGTGATACTCTGCGGCACGTCTATGGTGAGCTGGATGTAGAGATTCAAAAGAAACTAGCTGTGTGAACAAGATTTCTTCTTCATTCTTTTCATTTATCACTTTCAAAGTTTCATTATAAAAAAAGAGGCAGAAATATATTTTCAGCTATTTTTATTGTCCAAACTCTCAATAAGTTGCAATGAAAAATGTAATTGAAAACACCAGGGAAAACTGGGGAAGCATTTATAGGCTTGTGAATGGTTCTAGCTTAGATAAAACTAGTTAAAGGCAATTCCATGCCATATGACTTATACAGTTCACTTATAGTTATGGCCCTTTGCATTAGTGCTGGGATGATTTCTAAAATGTTCCATCCACCAAAGCACTCTGAACTTCAGTTTTAATTAAAGTCTGATATTTCTCAGAATAAAAAACACGTTATAAATTCTTATGATAGACTACTCTGACTGCAATAAAAACAGGTATTTTTAACTAAAGGCATTGCCTTATCTTAGAGTCTTAGTTTTCAGATTCACAGAGCAGCTCACTTTGGTCACAGAGCTGCTCAGTTCTGTTCCCCTACAGCACTGCTACCATCATTTCCTCCCATTCCTCCCCATCCCTCTTCCCACTTCCATTTCTTGGCCCAATACTCATTACACTAAAAGTTTTGTTCTTTTGACCATAGACTCTCTCCTCTGGTCTCTCTCTCACTTTCTCTTTTCCATCTTGAAGAAGAGCTCATTCTTCCTTCTACTTGAGTGTTGAAGATGGCCACTGACTCTAGAAGGAGTTTCATTCCCCACCACAGAGCTCAGGCTCTGCAGAGGTGGAAATAAGAGGGGACAAGGGACAAGAGGGGATGAGCAGACCGCAGACTGGCAATTTTTTTCATTTGTTCTCCCCTTCTGAGCCAACAAAGGAAGCTACCTTCAAGTTCATTTGCCCCCTCCATGCTGTGAGACTCTCTTTCAGGAAGACATGATCACAGGAAAGCCATTTGAAGCACTGTTTCTACAGGACCTGTGTTTTTCAAGCACAGTCAGAGCCAGTGGGGTTGGGCAACACAGTACAAATGACCTTGCTATTGGATGACTTCCTCTCCCCCATCACAAAGTAGGGCCCAGATTTTTGGGTATTCACAGATTAAGGGGGTAGAATGCCAACTTTTCCTAGGGAGCAGGGCATATAAACACATCCCAGAAGAGAAGGAGAAGCTGGAAACTCCACAAGCTCAAATCTGTTCTCCTATCTGTTCTACTTGCATAAGGAAGGACCTCGGGCTTCATGTTTTTCTTTTCAGATCACTCCTACCCAAAAGTATTCCTGACACTTTCTTTATTGATTCCTTATTCAGTGTTCCTCTTCCTCCTGAAACTGCTTCCGTGTCCTCCAATTCTTAGCCAAAAGGAAGCCCCTGTTGGTGCATTCTCTGCTACTGAGTGGCCTTCAGTCATATTGACATGTCTTACTCATGACATCTTAGAGTGACAGTGCTGCCAGACAGATACAACACAGACTCTGACAGGTCTGAAAGTTCAGTTACATTCAGAGTTCAAGTTTTCAGGGAGTGAGAGTGTCTGCAGTTTTTAAGAGTCATATTCTTTTCTTCTTTTTTTTTCATCCCCCAAATTCATATGAGTCCTGTTTTCTATTGAAATATTTTACAGTCTTTTCCGTACAAGCCAAGTGTACACACACGTGTGGAGATAGCTTGGAAATTATTTTGTACCTGCAGTAAAATCTCCATTTGCTGCACTGCACAGATCTACTGCATGAAAAGGATGTCACCCACGTTAACAAACTGCATGTGTGGGATACTTAATCATTTAAAATAAGTGAAAAGAAAGTAGGTGTAAATCACATAGTTATTAAATAATACAGAATTACAGTCACCTTGGGTGTGTCTACACTTGCTCCTATGGTGCTGTTGTTACTGTGCTGTCATTTAGTACTTCCGTTAGCTCCCCTTCTTTCCACATGATCCCTTTTACTCCCCAGCCCCACAACGTGTATTCAATTAAGAATAGCTTCTCTTAAAGAAGTAAGAAGTAAGCCCAGAAGTTCTCTTAGTAATAGAGGTCATATTCAAGGGAGATTGACAGGGGCACATAACTTTTAGTATCAAAATCTGTACCTTGGCTACTCCACCAATAAGCATTGTGTAGAGAAAGAGCACCCCTATCTGTGCCTGTGGGCATTTTCACGCAGAGAATAAGTAGCTTCAAACCTAAGAATACCTACTAGCCTATGGGCTTCAGTACAAACATGTGCACATGCATATTTCACTAGCACGATTTACATGAGCACATATGAAGCTGGCCCTTGCCTAGGCATTCAAGTCCCATGTGTATGTGCCTGACATCTAGCAGAGTGCCTTAATTGTATTATAACCAATTTTAAGTGACCACATGGTCCTGCTAGCCTCCACAATATCGAATGAAACATCAGCTTTGCTATTGAGTATACACCGGCTTTCTAATATATGTTATTAACAACTAGAGTGTAATAGAAATTTATAATAAAGCAAATCTGGCTATGCTATAAAGCTCAAGTTCTCTGTTTTTTTATTTTGAACAATCCTATCTTCTGCAGTTCAGCAATAGTGCACTGTTTCTTGCATTTCTAAAGGGGAAGCGCAATTTAAGAAATAGAAAGGCTACATAAGAACCACATCAATAAGGAATCACTCTCCGATACCAGGGAAAAAAAGAAAACATTCCATACATTAAGCTATTTCTCAGTTAGTCTATTATAGCCAGTGCTTTGGCAACCAGATACTTACTGCATTTATCCAATAAAGCTGTCAAGGTTTTCAGCACACATCACAGTGATAGCAGAGGGAATCCAGAGACTCCCATGGTAATTGTTCTAATGTGTCAGAAACCCATTAAATGACCAATAGTCTTGTAAGAAATCTTCACTGATGTTGCAACTCCTTTTTCCTTACTATCTTGGAGTGCTGCTCCAAGAGCATTCATTAAGGTTTGCAACATCCCTGTGACATACATAAGTGTTCTTCTGTCCAATTCCCTTGCGGGGAAACTGGGGCAAAAGAAAGTTATGTGATTACACTGTGGAAAAACCATGAACACAACCTGAGAACAGTAAGCCTGGTATAACCATTAGATCCAATGCCTCCCACTTGGTACAGAGATTTGCCCACTCGTTGTTAAGGTGGTTTGACAAAAACATGAGCAGGTACCCAGGATCTGAGCTTTCTTCAGTGCATTTGATCCAAGTAAGGAGTGAGTAAAAACTTGATGAAGGTGTCAAGATTCAGCCTCTGTTATATATGTTATACCGTATTTTCTTTCCCCCCCAAAAAACTATGCTGTGACCATTATGTGCAACTGAAGCAAGACTGTGGAGGTGTCAGCACTACACAGAAATTGTCATTCTGTGTTCAACCAGCCATCCATACTTCCCCGTCTTCTATCATCTTAAAAGATGACCTGAATGGCAGGGAGGAACTAATGCACTGGGATGGGGGGGTGGGTTGCTGAACGAATGTCTTCCATCCATCAAAAAAACACATCCTGCAACAGAAATATTGTGTGAATCTGTTTCTTTAGACATTTCGGTGTGGTCATGGATAATTTATTTTCCAAAACTTTGAGGCAGCATTCAGGGGTGCAGTCACTACACAACCATGGCTATTATACAAACAAACACAATCTTTCCTATATAGCACTAAAGAGAGATACAGCACATTACAATAATACAACCTGAGAGATGCGTCCAAGCCCTGAACCTCAAACTCACCATCTCTGAATGTTGAGAAATCTGGATCCAACTCTGAACTGGATAGCAAAGAACTTTCTAATGAATTGGCCTAAAACCCTAGGTTCAAACTTTAAGTTGCCCCTTCCCTCCCCCCACTGTCTCTAACAAAGATCCACGTGTCAAAAACAAACTCCCTGCCTCAGTGTGTTCACACTGTGAAGGCTCAGCAAAGCAAAGGACAAATGAGATGTACAGCCAACTGTGCAGTTGCCTGATAATGTCTGGTGCCTTGTAGAACAGGCTGGGGTTTCTAAGTAGCTTGAATGAGGAAAAAGAAAGCCTAGAGTGAATCTAGAAGTTGGCATAAAGGCCAGCACAGAGTTATTTGCAGTATTAGGCAGATGAAGCAAAAGGAGCAATTGAGGGGATACTGGACAGAATATATGAAGCACAACCATGCCTGGGAGAAATAGGGGTCCAGCCTGTAGGCCAGATGCCATTGCATAGATCATTAAAGGTGGAACTGAGAAGATTGAGCCAAATTTAGAAGAGGATCCAATGCTCAATGCTATGAAGTAGGATCATAGGAAGGTAGGACAAGAAGGGACCACATGTCATCATTTAGTCCAGACCCCTGCTCAAAGCAGAATCATCCATGACTAAATCGCCACAGCCAAAGGTCTGTCCAGCTTGCTCTTGAATACCCAGGGATGGAGATGCCACAATTTTTCTAGGTAGTCTGTTCCAATGCTTGATCATCCTCATTGTCAGAAAGTCCCTCCTAATCTCTAACCTAAATGTCCTGTGCTGTGGCTTTATGACCACAGAGAATAGCTCATCTCTATACTCTCTATAATTACCCTTCAGGTATTTGAAGACTGTTATCAAATCCCTCCTCAGTTTTCTCTTTTCCAGATTAAATAAACCTAGTTTTTTTCAGGTTTTCCTCACAAGTCATGCTTCCCAGGCCACTAAGCCTTCTTGTTGCTTTCCAATGGACTCTTTTCAACCTGTCCATATCCTTCTTGAAGTGTGGGGCCTAAAACTTGATACAGTTCTCAAGGTAAGGCCTCAACAGTGCCCAGTAGAGTAGAAGAATTTGGAGAATGTAGCCCAAATGGTGGGAGAGAAAAGTTCTCCTAATAGCAGTGTATTTTGGATAGATTAAAGGAGGTCCACATCTGTCCATATCTTGCAGAGGTCTGGGAAGGGAAGGCCTCTTCTGAGAGAGAATCAGTATTAGAACACTTGCTGTCCTTTAGGAAGAGATGTCTGGAGCTCAGGGTTTATCCAGGGAAAAATCTAGCCAAGGGAAACAAGGTATAATATGACTGCACTATATGACTGCACTATTCCCCCGAGTATAGGTGTCCAGATTCTGGCACTCATTCTTCTGGAGAAAAAACCAGAACAACAAGCCCCCAGCTGCCTGGGCCAAAGTAGTTGAATGATATGAACTATTTGGCCGAAGTGTCAAATCACTCTCACATCAATGAGCTTTTCATGTAAATATGAGAAGGCCTTACCGTGACAGAGGGGGCTGGGTCCTGCTTGTGTGAGCGTGTGGAGGGTGGAGGGACAGGTAGGGATCCCATATAATTGAAGGCAGGTGATGGCAATAGTGAGGTCTTGAGTATGATCCTGCTTCATTTGAAACAGTAATTGCGGCTGTAGCAACGAGCCTAGCCAAAGACTGTGGAAGAGGAATCTGTAAACTCAGCTCTCTAAGGAGAGGATTGCAATGCTGTGCCAGGAAAGAGGTTAACCTTCAGTAAGGTAACCAAGCAATGGCACAGCTGAGTGGCCTATTTAAGAAGACTGATCAGATTAGTTCCAGAGTAATCTCTAGAATGGCAGCCCACTTCACCAGCAGAGGAAGGGAGAGTGCCCAAGCAAAACATCATTGTTGACCATCGAGGCAGTCAGAACAGCAATTGAGGTTGATTGTGACCGACTTCCCCTAATCCAGAGCTGGAGCAGAAGATCTGATGCTTGAAAGAAAGGAGTTTGGATGGAGAAACTGAGGATGGAACTAGAGCAACAAAAGCTGGAAGAAACAGAGGAGATGAACTGGGGTTGAGGAAGTTGAGTAACAGAACATCTTGGAATGCTAAGTAGGAAGAGACCAGAATAGGCCAACCCTGCAAGCCACGGTGGTCTTAAATAACCAGCCCCAGGTGAGGACGAGGGGGAAATTAATCCTTTTGTTACTGCTTTTTTGGAGTGTTTGTTCTCCACTTGCTGGGTGCGTCTACACGTCACCATGTGGTGACGTAGCAACACATTATGTCACCATACGGTACACTATGGTGATGTAATGATTATGTGTGTCTACATGTGATCACCAGCTATGTCACTGTAGTGGCACGCTCCCTGGGTATAGTGCACCGCTATGGCGATGTAGCAGTGAAATCTAAGTGGGTGCCGTGTGCGTGGCACAGTAACTGCCTGTACAGTTATGCCATACGGTGACATGCAAATGCACCCAATTTGTCTGGCAGACTGGTTCCTTTGAGAGTCTATGCTGCAGTGACTCCTGTCTTGTAGACATACCTAAGCTAGTTTTAAACTATCTACAGCAGTGGTTTTCAAGCTTTTTTCATTTGTGGATCCCTAAAATATTTTGAATGGAGGTGCCAGACCCCTTTGAATTGTAAGTGTAGGTGTGGATATCCACATACTTTTGATTGATCATAGTCATCTTTTGCAGCCCCCTTAGACATAGTTTGCTGACCCCCAGGGATCTGAAAATCACTGATCTAGGTAGATGCTGACAGCAGTGCATCTGTGAGCTCATCCTGGGCTTACTGCCCAGCCCTTTGTATTTTCAGCTACAGGGTAAGAGTGGACCCTGAGGCAATTAACACAGGGAAGCACCCCTTTGTCTCATAAAATACCATAGACCAGCACCCAGGTCAAAGTCCCATTCATAACTAGGAAAGTCTATCCCACAGTTGTTTAAAACACTAGCAAGGTTGGTGGGTTTGTTTTTTAATTGCCATTTTAAAGCAGACTTCTTGAGCTAATTCTGTAACTATCATTAATGTGATGTTGAAAGTTCCCTCAATCTAAACATCAAGGGTTGCATCATAACATTAATATTTAGAGTGGGGAATTGTGCATAGTTACCAGAGTGATCAGTGGTACCATACGGCAGTTAGTTCTTATAAAAATCTTCTCTTCCATCAATGTAAACAAGCAATAGCCACAATTTCTGTATTATTATAAAACAATATCTTGTGCTCTATCTGCCTGCCATGGAAGAGCTTTTTACTAATAAACAGTACTCACAAATATGTGCTGACATCATCAGTGCAGCTGGTGCATCAGTGCAAAGTGCAAAGGAAAAAATGCCTTTGCATTCCGAGATGCTGTATAGTTTAAAAGTGTCATACTAAAACAGCATATTATTCCATCCCAGCCATGGGGAAAATCTGATGTTTATCATATGGAAAAAGCTATCATAAACAAGGTATTTTCACACTGTGGGTCATATAACTAAGGAAGAGTAAAAATAAATATTGTAAAAGCTTTATAGGTTTCTATTAAGATCTGCTACTTAAAATAAGTTTATTGTTCTAAGATACTCACTTTTAGGGAAACTGCTGTTCATAGGCCCAAACCTGTAATAGAATGTAGTTTTCAAAGCAGCCTATAGACATGCTCATTGATGTTCTAATTAGAATGTGTTGGAGCAGACTCAATTAATCAAGTCTGCTCCACGTTCTAGCTCCAGCGTTGCCTCACCATCATGTGTATTAAGCCCCACACAGTACAAAATGGCCACGGGGGCACTTTAACTAAACGTTGTTGAATGAGCTTTAGTTT